ATGTATTTATAATATTTGTTTATTAAAATGTTAATAAATGTTTTTCAAATCAAAAATGGATTTTATTTTTAATTACAAGTAACGTACAAAGGGTTTGAATTAAAATTCATATTTTAAAAATTATCAGTAATTATAAGTAATTTTCTATTACAGTAATTATGGTATACTGATTAACTATAACAATCAATGGTAACTTAATTTTATTTCATGTATTCAAGTGATATATTAATTAACACTAATTCATTCATTCATTTACGGTATATATTAGATATGTTTTAATTTGAGTAATTTGTAGTATAGTCTATTGTACCGGTAATATATTTATCAATTATTTGTAGACTTCAAGCATAAAGCGTTTGGAGAGGTATTGAGGCAATGAGTGAAATGTATCCGATTTAATGATTTCAATCAAATTGTTTGAATTCAATGCGAATTCAATGCAACGCTTTTCCAAATCAAACAAATCATCCTTAACTGCCTTTTCATAGAGACTGCAAAAGTTGGACAAATCAATGGTCACCTCATCTGCCGATGCCTGTCCTCCCACTTCCTCCTCCTCTACCACTGCGTCGCCGCACATCTCCAGAAGTACGGGTTCGCCATAGAGTGCGGCCAACTTCGTGACATCGCTTTTGTTACTACCATTGATGTCGGGTTGCAGTCCATACAAGAACTGTATGAACGCATAGTATGCCTCATATGAATGGCTTTTGATGCGAATCAACGCATTGTCCATAACATTGGAATTGTTAAACAAATAGTTGTCACAAATATCCCAAAACTTCTTGTTTCTGATCCGAAGTATAGTTTTGTGACAATAAATCATTTCGTGTTCAAAGAGAAACACTAAATCATAATTCGACCGATTGTTGAAAGCATAGGATAAGTGGCGGTTAAACACATCCATAGGACTCATGTCGAGGGACCTGTTGCTGGCCATCATTGAGCTATTGAATGGATTGGTTGTTGAATCGCTTTCGTGTCCGGAATCGTTGCCATCTGTGGCGCCATTGTATGGATTCAAGTGGTTATTTCGAGCGACACTGCAATGTTTGGGGACATTGCCATTGACCTCCTGATTGCCATTGACCTCCTCATTGAAGACAATAGTCTTATACGTGCGAAAACTACCCGAATATTTGACATAAGCATCAAATATGGAGTACTCCGGGGGCTGTATGTCTGCCACAGAAGGTCTCATAATCTTGCGGTTATAATAAGGATAACCCCAGACATAGAACTTATCGTTAGTGCCGACAGCGATGACCAGATTGTTGTCATAAGTGGTGACAATGTCTTTGAGTTTGCCTTTGCCTGAGTTGATCAGTACAGGCGCCCACTGTGTGTCGAGTGTGCCGTTGCCTATCTGTCCCCAATCATTGTGTCCACAGGCGTACAGAAGTCCATCGACGGTAAGAAACATTGTAGTGTTTGGCCCGCAAACGGCTCTCTTCATGACAGTCGACTCAAAGCCACGAATCAGTTCCGGACGGTTAGAGAGGGCGCGCTCTTTGCCGAGCCTGAGGTCGTTGTCTCGATGGCGACCCAACTGTCCGAAGTCGTTGAGTCCCCACACGTATAGGATTCCCGACTCCGTGACCGCCAATGAGTGACATTTGCCACAAGATATGGACGCAATCTTCTCGTTGCAGACGTGCACTCTTGTGGGCGACACTCGCCAGCAATAGGTCTGATCCCCGACCGCACCAAACGTATTGCGTCCCCAACCGAACAACAGGCCATCGGTGGTCAGCGCCAGTGTGTGTCGATTACCACAAGCGATGTCCGCCACCCGTGACAGCGTTGTGATGAGTGTGGGCGTGGATGTGGTGTCAAAAGTGCCCAGACCCAACTGGCCGAAGTCGTTCTCACCCCACGCGTACACCTGTCCACTGGGGGTCAGCGCCAGACAGTGACCGAACCCGTAGAAGACATTCACCACGTGTTTGCCGGTCAGCGCCGGACTCAGTGTGGGCTCCGGTATGTGCTTCTCGTCGCTGCAGACACCGAGACATCCGTACCGATTGTCTCCGTAGCCGTAGTACTGGTCATCGGTGGTCACGTATATCACGGCTGAACCCCTTTCGCCGAATATCGCCAGAAGCCGAAGCGATGTCTTCGCCAATGGATTAGTCATCACTGGCTTCAAGACTTTCAATGCGTTGACAACTTTGAGGTCATCGATGGACGCGATGTTTGTCTGCATTTCGATGTCGTATCTGATGTCCTCTTAATTGTGTTTACGATTCACTCAATTGTCTCACAATTTGTGTCACGTTTTGCACTTCGAGTCAAAGCTTTCACATTCAGACTGAATGTGACATTCAGTTCAGTCAAACACAACATGTCATTGCAGTCAGTGTTCACTCAATGCAAGCACTGCTCTCTTGTGCACACATTTTGCACTCAATTTCAAGTTCAATCAATTGTAGACTAGAATTCAATTGAAAATTTGGGTCAAATTTAATTTCACCATGATAGTCATGGCATGATAGTTACAATTTAACATTACCCTGATAATGTTTCTTATTTATAAATTAAATATATTTATATTTCACATAAAGTAATGACTCAAATTGTGCTCTCATTTAATATTGCAACCCAAAAGTTAATTAGAAATATTGTCCCAGTTTATATTGAATGCTTTATTAGGTAATTAACCGTAAAGTTGTCATTAAATTATTAAATAGAAAAACAGCAAAATTATCAATTTATAGATTACAATCAACATTAGGAATACAAACAAAGTTATAATAACATAAAGAAACATCAATATTGACGACAATTATCAAGAATTTCAAGTATAATGTGATTGTATGAGTCGTTTGGACAGGTATTCAGGCATCGCGTGGAAGGCATCGGATTGACAAATGTCTCTGAAATTCAATTTCGCGAATTCAACGCAACTCTTCTCCAAATCCAGTGAACTCTCATTCACTGCCTTCTCATAGAGACTACAGAAGTTTGATAAGTCGATCACCACTTTATCACTCAATCCCTGTCCACACATCTCCAGAAGAATGGGTTCGCGATAACAAGTGGCCAGAAGTAAGACATCACTTCTGTTGTCGGAATTGATTTCTGGTTTCATTCCATACAAGAACTGAACGAATACTTTGAACGCCTCATAAGAATAGCCATTAATTACAATTTCATTATTCGGTGACTTATTTTGAAACAAATATTTGTCACAAATATTCCACAATTTCTTGTTACGAATCTTAAGTATAGATTTGTGACAATAGATGCGATCATTAGTGGGGAAAACAAACACCAAATCATGATTGCATTGATTGTCGAAAGCTTTAGACAAATGTCTCAGAAAGACTTTCAATGGAATCAACTCTACGTTATCTATGGTATCATCCAATGAATGATTGTCAGAGACTGTGGGCTTACTCTTGATATCTCTGGAAAACACGGGCAATGTTTTGGGTACTCTGAAGCTATCGGTACCATTGGTTTGCTTCAGATTGGGATCAAAATCAGCGATCACTTTCTTAGCCATGGATTCCAACTCAGACTTTCTTATATTCAGATTGTTTTCAATATGATTAGTGACAGCAATGGATGTATTGTTTGCTTTCAAGACATTCTTGTTTTCAAAGACAATAGTTTTAAACGATTTATTAATTCGCGAATAATTGGCGTAAATGTCATGAATTGAAAGTTTGGTCATTGAGTCGGTAATGGGTTGCGGTGTGAAAGTGTACCGGCCGTCCACTGCAAACCCCCAGACATAACACTTGCCACTGACGGACACACCTAACGATAGGCTTATATCGAAATGAGTGATAATATCGCGAAAACGGATGTCTTTAGTGATGCGGACGGGTGTGTATTGAGTGGTTCGCGAGCCGTTCCCTATCTGTCCGAAGTCGTTGCCACCGAACGCATAGATGTGTCCGTCAGTGGACAGTAGGAGCGTGTGATCCGTACCGCAGATGGCTTTCAGTATCTGGACGTCACCTAATCCTTCGACAACTTCCGGTCGATAGCACACCGGCAGCTCTCGACCCACGCGTTTGTCTCGATCCGGGTGTCGACCCAATTGTCCGCAAGCGTTGAGTCCCCAGACGTACACCTGTCCCGTGTCCGACAGACCCAGCGAATGGTTTTTACCACAAGAAATCGACACAATCATGTCGTTGTAGAAGTGAATGGCCGTCGGATTGGCGCGGGAACTGTAGCTCTTGTCACCCAATTGTCCCAAATTGTTGCGACCGAAGCCATACACCTGTCCATCGGTGGTGAGCGCCAGCGTATGGCTATAACCGCACACAACGGTCAGCACCTCTTTGTCGGCAAACTCGCGGATCAGTTGCGGCGTTGAAGTGCTTTCGTACGACCCGTTGCCTAACTGGCCGTAAGTATTCTCTCCCATCCCATAGCACTGTCCACTTCGGGTCAGTCCTATGCAGTGCCCGAAGCCGTAGACCACATCCACCAACCCTTTGCCACTAAGCGTGCGGTTAATCGTGGGCTCAGTTACCGGTCCGTCGACCCCAACCCCTAACCGGCCCAAGAGGTTGGGTCCGTAACCATAGACTGTGTCCTCTTTGGTGGCGAATATCACTTCACATCCGTTGTACCCGAAGACACACAACAAGCGCACAGAGTTCTTGAGCTTCTTGTTGGCCAGCAGTGGTCGCAATGCTTGCAACTCTTTGATGGCGTGTAACTGATCCACGGATTCAAGCATTTTGTGACACAAATGCAAACAAAAGTGAATCAAAGTCTGACTCAAAGTCACACCAAATCTTTTGTTGTGCTTTTTGGTGACAACTATTCGTATATAACGTGACGTGTGTTGCAGTCAAAGTTGCTTTGACTCCCTGTCCGCACATCCATTCAATTGATTACCGATTAATAATTGATGAAAAAATGGTCATTCAATCTAATTATTTTATTTAACAGGTATTCGCAGTCAAGAGAAATACTTTAGTTTTCAAACTTTATATCAAATTATTGGTTTAATATTAGTCTTAATTATAATGAATTTACAAATCATTTGCAGTAAATAGTGATCGCATTAATCGTTTGGACATCTGTTCAGACATTGCGTCAAATGAATCCGATTTACAAATGTCTTGAAAATGCTTTTTTGCGAATTCAACGCAACTCTTCTCCAAATCATCCAAACCTTCATTCACTGCCTTCTCGTAAAGATTGCAGACATTAGACAACTCTATCACCACTTCTTCACTCAATCCCTGTCCACACATCTCCTGAAGAATGGGTTCGTCATAAATTGTGGCTAACTTTGAGACATCACTTCTGTTATTAACATTGATTTCTGGATTAATTCCGTATAAGAATCCTATGAATGCATAAAAACTCTCATAAGAATAGCGTTTGATATAAATCTCATGAGACGATTGGTGGTAAGTATCGACATTCTTCATCAACTGATCCATACATTTCTCGTAAAACTCTTTGTTTCGGATTTTAAGTATAAATTTGTGGCAATAAATAGATTTATCGGTAAACCTAAACACCAAATCATAATCCGATTGATAGTTAAAAGCTTTCGACAAATGCTTTGAGAACTCAATCAAAGGAATTAAGTCTTCGTCTGTCATGTCGTCTGAAATGAAAGAAAATTAAGTTTTTAAATAAAAATCGTATTAATTATAACACTAATCATACCGTTATAATGGACTCGAGTGGAGCTATAATTTGCATAACTTGTGTTTTTCATACAAATCAAATCGTCAAATATAATAGTCTTATTCGTGCTCATATCTCTCACAAATAAATCATTTCCATATTTGGCATAAATATCATACACTGTATGAGTGGTTATAGACTCGGGTATGGGTTGAGGCGTTAAAACAAACTTATTATTACCACTAATGCGGACACAATTTTGAGAAGATTGGTAACCCCAGAGGTAATACTCATTATCAATAGATATAGCGATTCCAATACCAAACGTGTATTCAGTGATAATGTCTTTGAATTGAACGTCTCCTCCAATACGGACGGGTGTTCTCTGAGGGTTTCGGGACCCGTTGCCCACCTGTCCACACATACTGGCGCCGAATGAATATATGTGTCCTTCACTGGACAGTAGGAGTGTGTTATTGGGTCCGCACTGGGCTTTGGTTATCATCACATCATTCAAACTAATTAGTTGTTCCGGTTTATTGACAAAAGGCTTAACACTTCCACTTATATTCACATCCATGGGTCGACCCAACTGTCCGAACCCGCTATACCCCCACATATATACCCGTCCGGTGTCTGTGAGGGCTAACGAATGGTTTTTACCGCAACAGACGGACACAAACGTTAGTTCTTGTGGTAAATGTATGGCCACTGGTGTCGAGCGGTCAACGAGACTATTGTCCCCCAATTGTCCCAAACCGTTGCGACCGAACCCATACACCCGTCCCTCACGGGTCAGCACAAGTGTATGACTGTTACCACACGATATGTCCCTCACTTTCTTGTCACTCAACCCATGGATCAGTTTCGGTGTATTGGAGTCGAGGGTTGATCCGCAACCCAACTGTCCGTAAGTATTCTCTCCCCACCCGAAGACCTGTCCCTCTCTGGTCAGTGCCATACAGAAGGAGTATCCATACGACAGATCAGTCAGTCTTTTGCCGGTAAGCGTGTGGTTAACCATCGGATCCGATACCTTCCCGTTGACCCCAACCCCCAACAGGCCGTACCTGTTGTTTCCAAAACCATAAACTTTGTCCTCTTTTGTGGCGAATATCACTTCAGATCCTTTGATCCCAAACACACATAAAAGTCTTATTGAGTTCTTGAGCGACGGGTTGTCCATAATTGGCTTCAATATCTCAAACTCTTTAATGACTGTTAAGTGATCCATGGCTTCGCTCGGAGTCTGTAAACAAATACAAGAGTTTGTGGTAAAAGTGATGATCCGTTTGAGCACTGAATGAATGAATGAAAGCAAAGATTGTCTTCAAATGAGTGACTCTTTCGATGCAAACAATGCTTTCAATGAATGAGTCATTGGTTTCACAAACACTACACAATTGGCGCTAATTTTCAATGATTTTCAATCAAAACCTTTTGACAATCAATTCATTTTAATATTTATATATTGAGACAAATAATACATTAAATTTAAAGATATTAGAGTATTTATCATTTTATTTATATATTTTTTTAATTATCAAGACAAATAATTTAGAAAATTACAGTACAGTATTTACAGTAATTAAATATTGAGATATTTCATCAAGATTAACTCAATAATAAATATAAACTACAAAACCTTTTTATGTATGACATGTACCGTAAATAATATTCCAAAGTTTTACAGTCAATTAGACGGTATTCGGTCATTTGACCTACAAATTCAAACACGTTATTTATGGATGCAAACATTTTTAGGTTAGGTTAGGTTAAGTAAGGAATTCAAAAATAACGTTTGAAAATAAATTCGTCCATAAATAACGTAGATATTTAGAGATGTACTTTATGAAATTTTTTTGAAAAAGTTTATTTTTTGTTCCTGAGTTGCATGAGGGTAACATGCCCTGGGCGCGCGCCCAGTACGCCTTAGGGGCGCCAGCGCTTGTCGTTATTATTACAAGGCTTCTTTTGCGCATGATTTTGGCACTTAGTGATACCCTTAGCAACCAAATAAAGCAATTTTATGGTTGGCAGCACTGTAAGTAAGGAATTCAAAAATAACGTTTGAAAATAAATTCGTCCATAAATAACGTAGATATTTAGAGATGTACTTTATGAAATTTTTTTGAAAAAGTTTATTTTTTGTTCCTGAGTTGCATGAGGGTAAAAGTGCAATTTTGAATATTTGTAGGTCAAATGACCCAAGACCAAATTAAACGCTAAATGATTATACGAAACAAGAAACTGCTATATAATTGCTATTCTCATATAATATGTGGTATTACTGTAATTGAATTGAAGTGATCACACAATAGACTCTTAATTAATCAAATCTAAGATATTATACATTCAAAGTTGTTAATACTGTATATTCTATATATTATTTATTTCATTTTTAGCCATAATCTGTGGAAAGTTAGTTATCATAAGAATTGCTTCCAGAGGCTGTTCAGTGGCACTGACCACTGGAACTACACGTAGCCGTACTACTGGTGCTGCAGCGACTCCCGTCACCACCGCCTCCACGATCAGCGCTGCCATCGCTATAAAGACTTGCGATCTGTTCAATCACTTCCTCGATGTCCTCCTTCTTAAGCCTATCGTCGAACGCTTCCATCCATCCGATGACCGCCTCATCATTGAGTGGTATCTTATAGTTAAGACACCTCAGCGCCAGTTCGATGGCACTGATGGCGATGTGTTGGGGTCTGTAGTCCAGTGACCGCACGTCGAGACACATGTAATCATTGAGTAGAGCCCAAGAGGTGGCCTCCAGTTTGGCGGACATGTCCTCCGAGTGCATCCAATCCGTCAAAGTCTTTAAGTAGACGTTGAGATACCGGTGCGGAAGCCGTGGATTCACTTTGAAGGCCAACATCCGCAGCAACAGTAGCTCACAGGCGGTGATCGACTTCTTCAGATTGTCCACCACTTCCGTGTCCGCCAACTCGTGTCTCGTTTTGTGGACCGTTTGGTAGAACACTTGGACCACGTCTTCGAGGCTGAGTTGAGAATCGGTGACTCTTGAGGACAGGTATAGAGCGGTGGCGGCCGTCAGGAAGAGGTCGTATGACTCGTACAAGAAGTGACGCCGGAATCGATGCAAATACTGACAGCCGTTGCAAATGGTCTCACAATTGGCTCCAAGACGTCGGCCACTCTTTATGAGCGCTTTGATGGGCTTCCGGAACGGATCCGACGAACAACTCATGTCTTAATTCAATGGATTGTAAATTATCTTCAGATGTCTACTGACTGTCAAATCATTTGTTGTGGTTTTGATGACAACTATTCGTATATAACGTGACGTGTGTTTGCAATCAAGTATTCACTGAAATGTCTCAAAATAGCAGACATTCCTCTGACTCCCTGTCCGCCAATCATTCACTCATCCAATCCAGCGATTGATAAAAATTGCAAATTAAATATAATTACATTCAAAATATTTTTATTTTTATTTAAGTTTCTAATTAATAGAAAATACAATATTTTTTGATACAAATCTCAGTTCAGAAAGCAATCAATTTATCAATGATTATCAATTAAAGCAATAATTTTCATTCAAACAAATAGTGATCGCATTAAACGTTTGGACATCTGTTCAGACATCGCGTCAAATGACTCCGATTTGCAAATGTCTTTGAAATGCTTTTTCGCGAATAAAAGGCAAGACTTCTCCAAATCATCCAAACCTTCATTCACTGCCTTCTCATAGAGACTACAGATGTTTGACAAGTCTATCACCACTTCTTCACTCATTTCTTGTCCACACATTTCCAGAAGAATAGGTTCGCCGTAACGTTTAGCCAACTTTGAGATTTCCGATCTGTTTTTGTAATTGATTTCTGGTTTCAATCCATACAAGAACTGCAGGAATGCATAGAATGTCTCATAAGAATAGCGTTTGATATGAATCTCATAAGACAACTGATGTGAAGTATTCTTCTCCAACTGATCCATACATTTCTCGTAAAACTCTTCGTTTCGTTTGTTAAGAATAAATTTGTGGCAATAAATGGATTTATCAGTGAATCTAAACACCAAATCATAATCCGATTGATTATTAAAAGCTTTCGACAAATGCTTTGAGAACTCAATCAAAGGAATTAAGTCTTCGTCTGTCATGTCGTCTGAAATTAAGCCAAAAGAAAAGTTTTGTAACAAAAATAAAAACAATTATTAAAACACTTTTCATACCGTTATAATCGACTCGAGAAGATATACCATTGAAATAACTTGTATTTTGGGAACAATTCAGTTCATTGTAATCAAAGTTTTTCATCTTTAAAGGCATCGATATCTTCATGTTTTCAACAGTTTTGTCCTCAAAGTCCAATAAATTTATATCTATTTCACTGGAATTCATACCACTCTTTCCACTGACATTGACATTCACAGCAATGGATGAATTCTTCAAATTATAGTCATTATTATTAGTATTGAAGACAATTGTCTTAAATGTTTTGGTATTATCTGCATATTTGGCGTAAATATCATATACAGTATGACTGGTCACTGATTCGGGAATGGGTTTAGGAGTTAAAACATATTTATTATCAGCGCTTTGTGGGCGGATATTACTTTGACGGGGTTGGTTACCCCACAGATAATACACATTATCCACAGACAAAGCAATTCCAATACCAAACGTGTATTCAGTGTTAATGTCTTTGAATCTCACATCTCCTCCAATACGGACGGGTGTTCTCTGAGGGTTTCGGGACCCGTTACCTACCTGTCCACACATACTGGCGCCGAATGCATATATGTGTCCTTCATTGGACAGTAGGAGTGTGTGATTAGTTCCGCACTGGGCTTTGATTATCACCACATCATTCAAACAAATCAGTTGTTCCGGTTTATTGACAAAAGGTTTAGTACTTCCACTTATATTCACATCCATGGGTCGCCCCAACTGTCCGAATCCGTTATACCCCCACATATATACCCGTCCGGTATCTGTGAGGGCCAGCGAATGGTTTTTCCCGCAAGTGATCGAAACAAACGTTAGTTCTTGTGGTAAATGTATGGCCACTGGTGTCAAGCGGTCAACGAGACTATTGTCCCCCAATTGTCCCAAATCGTTGCGACCGAACCCATACACCCGTCCCTCACTCGTGAGCACAAGGGTATGACTGTTACCACAAGAAACGACTGCTATTTTCTTGTCATTCAACTCATGGATCAGTTTAGGAGTATTGAAGTCAAGGGTTGAACCGTAACCCAACTGTCCATATTTATTCTCTCCCCACCCGAAGACCTGTCCCTCACTGGTCAGTGCCATACAGAAGGAGTAGCCGTACGACAGATCTATCAGTCGTTTGCCGGTAAGCGTAGCGTTAAGGGTCGGTTTGGATACTTTCCCATCGATCCCAACCCCTAAACGGCCCCAAAGATTATCCCCAAACGCATACACTTTGTCCTCTTTTGTGGCAAATATCACATCCGCGCCGTCAAAACCGGATACACTTAAGAGTCGTATGGAGTTCTTGAGCGATGGGTTAGTCATTAAAGGCTGTAATATCGGAAATTCTTTGATGACCGGCAACTGATCTATACTTTCTTTGCTATCATTGAAATAATTTATATTTTGAGTATAATTTAGATTATAATCATTTCCTTCATTCATTGAAAACATGGATGTCTTGTAATCAGCAGTTGTGTCCTCAAAGGCCAACAAATTAATGGACTTTCCACTCTTTTCAATGCTATTCACAGCAATGGTTGTGTTCTTCACATTAAAGTCATTATCATTGGAATTGAAGACAATTGTCTTAAAAGTTCTTAAACTAACTGAATATTTGGCGTGAATGTCATACACGGTATGAGTGGTCATAGACTCGGGTATGGGTTGAGGCGTTAAAACAAACTTATTTCCAGAATTACTGGTGCGAAGGGTTGTGGGCGCGCACTGATAGCCCCATACATAGTAGATGTCATCGACAGACACACCGATACACATCCCATAGATATATTCGGTGACAATATCTTTGAATCGCACGTCTCCTCCAATACGAACGGGTGTTCTCTGAGGGTTTCGGGAACCGTTGCCCACCTGTCCATTCTGACTGCCACCGAATGAATACATGTGTCCATCACTGGATAGTAGAAGTGTATTATTGGGTCCGCACAGGCCTTTGGTTATCACCACATCATTCAGACAACACAGTAGTTCCGGTTTTTCAATGTAAGGCTTATTAGCACCGTTTGAGTAGAAATCCATGGGTC